TCAAAACTGGATTCTACATTCTTGTCTTTCGCGAGCAATATCTCCGTCGTTTTATCTTTCTTTACGCTGAGCTTTTGAGTATGTTGTAGCTGAGACAATAAGCTATCACAAGTGTGCCCTATATTTTTCGATCAGATGCCGGGATCATGCTCATATTTCACTGACAAAGTGGGATTTGAGAATTCCATTTCTCGTTTACGTGTAATCGCTATGGGAAATGTTTTGGTATATCGGTAACGCACTTGACTTCGGACCTCGAGGTCCCTGGATCGAGTCCGGGCGTCCCCAACAATTTTTTTTCTTCAATTTTTTTTACTTTTTGACTTGTCAATGATCATGAAAATTGAAGACAGACCACCTCATTCGTCCCCATGACGAATTAAATTTCTAGTTTAACTCTCTTTTATATGACACCAAACTCATGGTGGTTCAAGGTTTCCTTAAAATATTATTTACACAATACTATTTTGTCGTCAAAAGGGACACTTTTTTGGTGGGGGCGTCCCCCTGGCCACATCCACCACTTAGAACATGCCAGATGGTCAATTTGTTATGTGGAGCTATGCGATCTTTACATCTGTGCACATGAAAATTGGTTTTCTTCCCAGCTAGGTTGACCCCCCTGGCTCCCGGTCTAGGACCCCCCAGGAAATGAAGGAGGGGTCTGAAAATTTGAACCCCATCATTTTTGGCCAATTGGGACCCTTTTGAAGCCAAAACAGCCAAAGTATTAACTTTGGCACAAAAATCCTACGGGATTACATACCATACCGCACTAAATCTCACTTCTTAATTATGACTACAAGATTGCGGCATCGGTCCTAACTAAAAGTCTCCAGAAGGTAATTCCCACATTAATTTCCAATGATCAAGTACAGTACATCAAGGGTAAAATTTTAGCTGAAAATATCAGATAAATTGAAGATATATTTCATTATGTCCAAAACCACTAAGACAAAGGACTTGTATTTTTAACAGATTTTAGAAAAGCCTTTGATTGTCTAAGTTAGAATTTTGTCAAGTTGTCAATACCCTGTACACAAATGTTAAAAGCAGTGTTAATGTAAACGGTTGGTTAACAGAACAAATTAACATAACAAGAGGCGTGCACCAAGGGTGCCCTCTCTCGGCCCTTTTATTCATACTCGCTGCCGAGGTACTAGCTATTAAAATAAGAAACGATCAAGACATCACAGGAATTAACCTTTTTGATTTAGTCGAAATAAAGATATTGCAATTTGCAGATGACGCAACAATTTTTGTTAAAGACACAAAATCTTTAAAGAAAGCTATAAAGCAGATAAAACATTTCAATTTATTTTCTGGTTTAGAGCTGAATAAATCAAAGAGTTCCATAGTTAACATTAATGGAGACACCATTGGTGAAAGCATTTATGGCATTCCATGGACCTATTCTGATGTTAAAATATTAGGGGTTCATTTTGGGAAAAATGAACAAAACCTAATAAATCTTAATTGGAAACCCAAAATATCAAAGATTGAAAATATAGTACGTCTATGGAAAGCAAGGCACTTAACTTTTTTTGGTAAAATAACCATAATCAAATCATTCCTTGTTTCTCAAATTATATACAATGCTCACATGATTTCATGCCGGAAATGTAATGAAACACATTGATTCTTTACTTTATACATTTTTGTGGAATGAAATAAAAACACAAAATAAAAAGAAAAGTGGTTTGTATGAGTTATGAGTATGGAGGATTGACAAGGTAAACGCTCTCGGCGGTCTCGCCTGCATTATGCAATTCGATATGATGAAAAATTGAGGTTGGAACATTATTTATAGGCAGGGTGGCCCATTAGCAAGCCCCCAAAAATGAAATCCTCTAAATATAATCAGCATTTTGAAGTGAATATTGACCAAGAATCATCAGAAGAATATTTACTATTAATTGTACCAGGATCGATAACTTGAATGAAATATGAACAAATTAATTAAAAAAAATGATTTATTAATGCTCATTTAAGTTGTGAAAACATAATTCAAGTCTACTGAACTAAAATGACCTTTGACCTTGTGACCTGGAATTTTTGTCATATGATTTGTGATACTTGATAACCCTTGGGTACAAGTTTCATGGAATTTGAACAAACAATCTTAAAAATATGCTAAAAATTCAAAATCTTGATGATGCCACAACAAAGTCCAAGTTTGTTGACCTTAACTTAGTGACCTGAAATTCTATTCACATGATTTGGGATACTTGATAACCCTATAGTCCAAGTTTCATCGACTAAGAACTTATACTTTCAAAATTATATCAAAAATTAAAAAACTTAACCTTAGGTTAAGTTTTTCATGATGATGCCGCAACATAGTCCAAGTCTGTTGACCTGAAATGACCTTTGACCTTGACTTTGTGACCTGAAATTCTACTCACATGATCGGGGATACTTGATAATCCTAAAGTTCAAGTTTCATTGACTAAGAACTTATACTTTAAAAATTATATAAAAAATCGGTTAAGTTTTTGATGTTGACGCCGCCGCCGTCGCCGGAAAAGCGGCGCCTATGTCTCGCTTTTTGCTACGCAGGGGAGACAACAATGGTTGATTTGAATGCTCTGTTACAAAGTTTTATATTAAAGTGGATATTGCACTACTTCTCCCACGAAAACTCAAAGTGGAAAAGATAATTGATGGTTTCTTTAAAAAAGTGGGCAATTTATAATATGTACAAAAGATGATATGAAGTTTTGTTTAAAGAATATAAAAATGCTCCAATATAACAAGAATATGGTATATACTTGGTTTGACTTTAAAGAGATAGTAGAAAGTAAGAAGCCAATTGATTTACAATGTACTAATGTTAGAAGTGAAGACATATGGTATAACTCAAATATAAGAGATCATAACAAAAATGTATTATTTATTTAAAAAATGGTTTGATGTAGGCCTTTTGAAAATTAATGATGTCGTAAAAAACTCTAGATTTATGTCTTTGAGAGAAATTGAAGAAAGATTTGAGAAAAAACATGCTTCTTTGTTTCAAGAATATTACATCATAGTAAATGCGATTCCCAAAGTTTGGAAAAAGAATATTTTAAGACAGGTACATGTGTATGATGCGACACAGGAAGAAAACGAAGGTGTCATGAAAAATGTTTTAATGAATGTTAACACTAAACAAAAGCCGAAGTTTTTCTACTTTACGTTGTCTATTCATTCAATTGTTAGACCTCCAATCGAAGAGAAATGTTAAATGGTACAGAACAAATCGACTGGAAAGTCATATGGTCATTTAATTTACAAGCTATGAAAGAAAAGAAGAAAAAAAGAAGAAAAAAAAGAAAAAAAAGAGATATTTTGCTCAGCCATCGCGCATAGTGCGAGTCTTCGGGCTGGTGATGACGCACCGGACAAATAGCAGGATATTTTGCCAAATAGCAGCTTATTTTGCAAACTAGCCTGAGAAATCTTGAGATGATTATCTCAACCTAATATCCCGCTAATTGCAACTTTGGGCTGATGAAGACATAAATTAACTGGATAATTTGCGATCGGGATAGTTAAAATAACGGGATATTTGGCAATCTGGAGCTGATGTGGACAGGCCTATAATATATATTTAGATTATAGCAGTTCTTCTCATAAACAAACTAGAATGATATTGAAGATATGCTTCTGATAGTAGGGAGACCTTTAACACAATTAATAAACGTCACTGGTGGTACTTCAAGTTAAAGGTACTATGTCCCATTTACAGGCCCCAAAATGAAAAGGTTAAATTTCAACAGCATTTGAAAGTCAATACTTATTTGGAAATTCCCTCGAAACAAAAGGGCTTGAGGAAATGCCTTTTTGTGGGAAAATAACGACCATTAGTTGTCGAATCGACATAAGTGATTGCAATAACCTAAATAATAGTCTGATTTTCAGACCCTTGCCCCGAATGGTCGTACGTTTTGTGCTGCACAAAGATTCAATCAGTTTAATTTTGGCCATTACAAGTAGTGGGTTATTGATATAGACAAACGCTCATGTACATGTTACAGCTCATTTTATGTATATTATTACCAAAGAAAAAAAGATGTCAGTCACTCACACAACAGTGTCTGACAGCGAGTCTAGAAAGTAAACGAGTTTCCTTGCATAATTTGAATACTAGGACACTGCTAATGTTTAAATTTTACAGATAGGACATACATGACAAATTCATAATTCCTGCACAGTTCTACAGAATTTGATGTTGGCTGCAAAAGCTGACATAGTATCTTTAAAGGGGAAGTCCATCATGATATTACGTTGGTTTTAATAGAAGCAGATCTAGAAAATAAAGGGAACAGGTCAGTGAAAGTTTGAGCAAATTCCGGTTCAAATAAGAACATTATGAATTTTTTGAAATTGCGATCAATCAAACACAAATTGTCAACAATGTGACGTATCTTGTGAGCCCGCCCCCTCCCCCTCCAATATGCTCTTTGTATTGATGACGGATTATATATTTTTGTCCATACATATTTGAAATATATTTGCAATGATACATGGGTGCATGTATGATTGAAAATTTACTAGAGGAAATAAAAATATATCTCAATTTTCTTACAAGAGACATCACAGATTTACAAATATGTGTTTCACTGATGACAGCATAATAAATTCATAACTTTAGTATCTTTAATCTGATATTACTCAAACTTTCACTAATTTTTCCCTCTTATTTATCTGCTGTTATTCAGACCAAGTTAATATCAGGGTGGACTTCCCCGTTAAGTACGTTGTGATCTTCCACGGTTTCCACGGTTATAGTATTCACACTTAAATGGTTTTTTCAAGACTGCTGCTGCCTTAGTGAAAAGACCATTGATATATATACTTCCGTCAAAAGAACCAGCACATATATATGAGACATTAAAAGGAATTAAAGAAAAGTAAAATGTATATTAGAAAAGGGAAGAGATGGTAATGGAATGGAAAGAAATGAAATTAAACACTCACACATACATGTACATCACAATTGTGGATGAACCGCTCACCTTTGATTCTTTTCCTTTCCTTGCAAGTGTTTCAAAAAAACAATGATGGAATGCACTTTGTAGAGAAACTTCCTTCAAAGATGGCATGGAGCATATTATCTCTGCCACATCCAGTGACATAGTAGGTCCACAATTTCTCTTAATACAGAGGGTAACCTGGATAAAATGACAAAGTGGTTACTGATGGGATGCAAAATAGAGATGTTCTCTTGGATGTTAGGCATACATGTGTATTACCTACATAAGCGGTTGCCGTAAATGTGCTGCAAGAAATACACAGATTAAGAGGGATAAGGAAATAAATAAGATGGTTTGTTGACAAACCAGGAGATAGCTGAATTGTTTTCCTTTTAATTCAGAAGACACCGTAGCTTATTTTACGTCTACCATAGCGCGTATGGAATTTATGCTAATTCTAGTTCAGAGCGACGTGTTTGCAGATGCCATGTTTCTGTCGTTAGGAAAGGACCTTCAGGAGACGAAAGTCTTACTATGTTGTTTTCAGGTGCGATCCAGGATTTCTTAGGGGTGTGGGCCCAAATTTGAAATCAATTTGAAATTTAGTGTGCTGAAATATGAAAATCGTTTTTTTTTTTTTGCTCCAAAAAATTTGAAAATCACGCCGTCCAAAAATTCACTTGGTGGGGGGGTTTTGGCTCTCGAAAACTTGCACCCCCCCCCCCCCCCCTTGAGCGCCAAGGAGGGGGGGGGGGGCCATCTCAAAAAAAAAGGTAAAATTAACGTTAAAAAATGTAAAAATACACATTTTTTCCCAGGGGGGGGGGGGGGGGGGCCCCCCCCCCCCCTGGATCCGCCACTGGTTGTTTTAGTTAGCCAAGAAATGTCACCATAGAAGTAAGTTTATCTTTAAAATATCATGCTTTTCATTTGTGGTGATTTAAGAATGTGTTTTGGTCAGGTTGTTGAAGAAAAATGATATTACATAATCAATGTGTACCGAGTACGGTGTATAAATTGCTATGCACAAAACTGTATAGTATAGTATATGTATACCGGTATGTATGTACAGTGCGTCCCAGAAAAAACGAAACCGAGAAGTATCGATGTTTTATCATAACTTAATCTCAACCATAATTAATGAATGATACATATTTGGAAAGCTTAAAGTCTCCTCTTTCATGTGATGCTATTCAGATGATGCATATTTTACGCATGGGTGATTAAAAGCAATTTGAAGGAAGGAAACCAAAAAGACATTTGGCGGGCGGTATCTGAATTTCGAAGAAAAATTCACATTTCTAGAAAGTTGAGTTTCTGCCCTTTCATATGACACCTCAATCAGGAAAAATGAGCGAGGAATAACAAAGTTCTCTTTGTTTAAAGTAGCCCTTACATTTTCATAATTTTAACAAACGAATTCGTTTTCACTGGGTGCCTGTCGTAGCAAAAAGCAGATTTGACAAAAGACTTAACTCCGTTTCGCTGACAATCAGCCATGCATGAAGACTCTCGTCTACGGCTGATTGTCAACGAAACGGAGTTAAGTCTTTTGTTAATTTCGTTTATTGATACGGCAGGCAGCCAGTGAAAACGAATTCGTTTAATAAAATTATGGAAATGCAAGCACTACTTTAAACAAACAGAACTTTGTCATTCCTCGCTCATTTTTCCTGATTGAGGTGTCATATGAAAGGTCAGAAACTCAACTTTCTAGAAATGTGAATTTGTCTTCGAAATTCAGATACCGCCCGCCAAATGTCTTTTTGGTTTCCTTCCTTCAAATTGCTTTTAATCACTTATGCGTGAAATATGCATCATCTGAGTAGCATCACAGGAAAGAGGAGACTCTAAGCTTTCCAAATATGTATCATTCATTAATTATGGTTGAGATTAAGTTATGATAAAACATCGATACTTCTCGGTTTCGTTTTTTCTGGGACGCACTGTATAGTGATAGGGTCTACGTTGTATGAGTTACATTGGAAGTCTTATTTCTTTTAGAAATGACAATGCATAACATACAGACGCGATGTTAAATATCGCTTCATCTATGTAGATATGTTTAATACAATGTATTCAGGTGCTTTAATACATTATTTAAGCTGGCTTATTGTTGGCCATTTAGAGTGATAGTTTAAGAGAGAAAGTTGAGTTAGTTAATACATGAATGAACCAAACAGAGTAAGCTTATAAACTGGAAATATTTGCTCTATAAATGGAAGTTTGTGAGTTATGATGTAAACAAAGGACTAGGGGTTTAATCTTACATTTGATTAACGAGATGTTGTTCTGGTGATGTTTAGATTAGTCTTCGTATTTAACGTGGAAGTTTCCTATAGTCTTAGTGAGTTTGTTATAATGAGGTTACACTACACATTTCAAGGAGTTAAAGTAGTATTTTGACTTGATTTCAGTTTCAGAACAGAGCATAGTCGATTTTTGCACTCTCGCAAACAATGCCTCGTGTTCATCCAAGCGTGAACACATACCTGACAAAAATGGTACCAAATGATTTGGGATAAAACACTCTTTCATAAGATGTATAATAATTTACTGTTCATAGATGATTTTTTAAATAATTAGCAATTGTCTAGGTGTAACCTTTTTTTTGACTCACTCTGTATGTACGTGCCAGTACATAGCTTCAATGTTATTGTAAATTTGCACGTTATGAATTTTTTCAAAATTCCTCTTCCACCGACATCAGATTCGTTTAGTGAACGTTATACCTAGGTCTATGAAATTTGGCAGACATGTGTATCAACCTGCTTGACAAATACCTGCCAAGCTCGACAAAATTTCATGACGTAGATCATTACAATGCGTGACATGCTTGTAGGACATTTGCTTGGATGACAATGGGGTCAAAATGACTGCAATGAAGTACCCCTTCAAATGATACCATACACGGTATATGTTCACTCAGAAAATTTTGAGTGAATCGAAATTGAAAGCAGGTCACAATTCCGATTATGCGGGGTTTCTGCCCAACTGTAACACGTATCGGCTATGCATGACATCAATTTTCAGAGTGATTTCTGCCCCTTTTCAATTTTTCTTTATCTTGAAATTTTGCAAGTGTATTCTGAGTGGCCAAACTCAGGGCATCTCATACCCCGATTTTGAAAATCTGCAGAGTGGGACGTTTTAGCTGCCATTTCATATTCTGCATTATAATGTATCGCACTATATATGCATCACATATTAGCATTAAGCATGTAAGGCCATATAGGCCAAAGTATATGGAAACCATACGTGTGTAATCACGTGTTACTGGTATTTATATCTGCTCAAAGAAATCGTTATACGTTTGTAAAGAAAAGAGAAAAGAAAATTGGTTTGGTATTAGGGGCCAGAAAATAGCACATGTGCTAGTCGAGATGCACCCTTCCATAATTATACTGTTGTACTGTAAGAAAACTGCAAAAGATATAAGAACTTGTACAAAAATGGATGAACTAATTTTGTTCATCAAACTGTGATTAACTTACCACATGTGGTCCAATGAAAGCATAACCAGCTACAGTGTGCGCTGTCATATCAGCGGATACGGTCAGTGCAATTGCATTTGATGAAACCTTGTCCCTCACCAAGGCTGCTACATCTGGGTCTTGACTCTCGAAGGCTACATCAACAATGAAAGGTAACTCTCCACTTAGAGTTACATCTACCGTTGTGTCCAAAAAATTATTTACCTCTAGTCCCTGAAGCATAGGGTTCAGTACATGGGTTGCAATACTTTTGTTTTGTGACACAGTGAAGTACAGGAGATACCTAAACTCCTGCTTCCTTGGCAGCACTACTAGCTCAATCAGCCTATTGAATTCATTACGATCTGATTCATACAGGGAAGCGAGATGGACTCCAGCCATGTACTCCTGAAACAGTTTGTGAGGGAAGAAGACTGGCAATTGCACATGAGCATCCCTCTTATGTATGTCGATGCTAGTGGTAATTCTGTCCTCCTGAGACAAAATCCCGACCTTACAGGCAGTTTCCTTGGATTCTGGGCATATTTGGAAATCATCTTCACCGAAAATCAAGGTATTTTCTAGCAGACCATTGAGGGCCTGTTTGGCAATCGGTCCAAGGAGCTCATCAATTTTTTTCAAATAGGAAAGAAATGAGGGGCTGCCTACTTTCTTCACCTTTTTCTGAGCATAATGTTCTTTCAGAAAGGCAATCATTTCTTTAAATATCTGAGAAAAAGATTTCAGTGATTTAATTTCCTTTAGTTTTTGCTCGTCAAGTTCTTTCCACATAAGGCACAACATGGCTACATATATAGGATAGTGGGCCATGTTTTCAGATATGACATCATTCTCACTGGTGAACTGGATAAGCTGATTTGCTTTATCATCTTTCTTTGGAAAGTATTTGTGAATGTAAACTGACAAATTCTCTCTGTTGAAACCCTCAACACGAATGAATGTGTAGAGCTTCATTAGATCACCATCTGATCTAATTTCTACTGCTCTCCATGGGCGAGTGGTCACCAAGACTGGGCAAGAGGCAAGCTGATCTGAACAAAGAATCTCTACAAGTCCAATATCACCAGTCTCAGATGAACTTCCACATGCCTCTGAGGAGGTAACATATGGTTGTGATGGCTGAAGTTGCATTTGATCAGTAGGCTGTTCGTCACAAGATTTTGTCTTCATGATTTTGCCACTGACTTCATCTAGCCCATCGAATGCGATGAATACCTTGTCAGGATTCGACCGGATATACTCAGTAATCTGAGAAACTGTTGCTGGATTGTTTTTGGCCAGATAAGACTTTACAATCTTGCCAATAGTGTGTTGCTTAAATTCACGTAGAGGAACTATCAAGACCCATACAAAGTGACTGAAATGCCTCCCTTCAACCCAGTCCCAGGCAATCTTAGCACAGAATGTAGTTTTTCCAGCCCCTGCCTCTCCCTGAACCATGATCCTCTTGGGGAACTCTCCATTGACTTTGAGATCAAGGATATCATTGTAATCTAGCACTCGCTTGTCTGTCCCATGTTCTTCTAGTAAGACAAGATTAGTATACATATCGTCAAACTGGACAGTGGAAGCAGGATTGAGAGGATCAGATCTGATCTTACAGAGAGTTGACCTATACTTGAACTTGATGTCATTTGTACACCGCTCAACCAGTTCAGGAGAAAGTAGGTTCGTCTGAGATTCAGCTAAAGGAGGTTTGGTCTGTGATTGGAGCAGTCTTGATGGCCCTCCTAAAAATACAAAATCCATATTCACATGATTACACGTAAACATAGTTTGATACATCTAAAAGGATTGTAAAGGCCTGAGGCTAATAGTGTGAGATATGACTAGGTGCATGTTGTCAAAGACACAAAGTCCTACATGTTTGTCTGAATTTATATGACTTCATTCAAATTTAAGGGCATTTAAAATCTGAGTAATATGTGTATACATGTACTTGTAGATGAATATCACTGGAATTAATATTCCTAGGACATTTCAGCAATGCAGTTTCCCTTACAATCATACATCTTATTTTGAAGAAACAAAACAAGACAAATAGACTGCATCTCCAGTATGCCTCTGCCTAAGTTCAGTTAAAATCAGGGCTTGAATCTTTAAATATCATAATGAGAACAAAAATCCTATATACCGGTATACATGATGATTGATCTTTACAACCTTTGACCTTTGACCTTACAATCCAACATCTGATCACTTGTCTCCCTTTGGTGACGCAAACCATATGTAGTCAGTTTTTAAATAATTTTTTCCGCCAGCTAAAGTAGCTTAAAGATAAAGGTGAGTTCTGGTAATGCGATTGCATTGTGAAAGAAAAGGTGTGGAATGGATCAGAAACAGTTGATCATGTAGCATGTAAGTATTGGTGTGCACTGCAAGGTTCTGGAGTCATCAAAATCATCATAAATTTGGCCGAGTCTTGGTAAAGTAACAAGCACTGTACATAGAAAGCTATATATGGGACAACACACATGGTGTCGGGGCTAGTACTACCTTGATTTCCTTGTCTTTCTATGCTCATTACTCAGCCAGTATACATTTTCTTCCAAAATTATTTGGCACATGTCATTTATTTGTAATCTTGAACATTCAGTGTAAGTTTTGTTTGATTCTGTGAGAATTAATTTTCCTTTTTTTTTTACCAGAACTGGAGTTTATCTTTAAAGTAGTTATTGATATGGTTATAATCTTATCCCAACATATGTTTCAATGTGGTGGTGCATACCAACACCAAATTTGAAATTCATGGGTCAAACCGTTCTAGAAACATTGCAATAAAGGGGCTAAAACCCTAAAAGGTAATTAAATTTGACCCTCATGGCCCTTGGCCTTTGACCTACCTATCCCAAAATCTAATCACTCCATCTCACTTTGGTGATGCATGATAACATCAATTTGAAGTTCATACCTCAAGTGGTTCTTGACATATCATGAGACTAAAACCTGTAATTTCCTCTATGACCCACTACCACCCAAATCTAATCAACATTATCTTCCTATGGTGATAAATACTATCAACAAGTTTGAAGTTCATACCTCAAGTGGTTCTTAAGATCGGATATCGTAATGGAAAAAATTAATGTAGGACGGATGGACAGACACCCCAAAACATATTTTATCCGGCACCACCTTTGGTGGGTGGATGCATAATTACAGTTATCATAATGGGATGACGCAAAAGAATAGAATTTGTTTGTAGAACAAAGAAAGCTGGCAAACATTGAATTCTGCTGTCACTAAAAGTACTTGAACTATATTGGTGTCCAGAAAATATCTGGGATTAACAAAGTTAAATTAGTAAATTATAAAACATGCATGGGGCCTCATATTATTTGACACTTCTGTAAATTGTGACATATGTATAGAACACGGAGCACTCACTCTCTCTATAGTTCCGTTTTATGCACAGTTTTCTATATCTTCTTGTGTAGCAAGAATTAATATCTGTTTACCTGTGCTGTTTGGAATTAGAGGTTCATTGAGTAATCTGTCCGATAGGCCACCCAAGTCAATCTCTCGAAGTGCGTCTGCCAAAAGCTGTCGTCTGTTTGAATGTGGAGGTTGCTGCTTGACCTTCCATTTCATGAATACTCGCAAAAATGCATTGGAATAGTTATTCGACATCTGAATCAGGATTGCCTGTATCTGAGCTGAGGGGATCCCAAGAGATATCCCTACAGCATCGTAGTAAGATGGAGGGATATCATGGGCCAGCTTCAGGAACTCCATATCACTGACAGTACTGTAAAATGAATAATAAATCAATTGGGAACGATAGAACATTAGTTAGAGAGCATCCTATTGGCTGATAAGCCATCATGTGACACTTAACAATTTGTATTATGTGCTCGAGCGTGCAATAAAACAGCCTGCGGATGCCAAAATACATTGACGGTGATATAAACATTTGAAACAGTTTGGCAAACTTGGTTTCACTGGGTTACAACATTGCTTGCCCAACACAGCACAAGTCGCCATCGGGTTGGCCAAACTCTGTGTATAGATGGCTCTGGGCAAGGTAAGGGTAATCATTCCAAAAAAAGCAGAGTCTGGCAGTGTAATACAATAATGATGGTGATAGTAATAAGAATAATATAAGAAGAAAAGGATACTACTACTTTTAAGAATACTAATAATAGGGCCAAATAACAAAAATAATGTGTTTGTTTTTCCAAAAAAAAGTAGGAGGCAGGGCATTACTAATAACAATTTTGTCTTTTTTTGCTATTTTTTCCAAGATGGCTGTCATGCTAATTATAGCTGGCTAAGCCTATTTATTGACAGATATTGTGCTTTGTGAGTACCAGTATACTGATGCGATGTATGACAAAACAAAATGATTTGTATCATGCCCCTTTTATTTACAAAATGTCGGAGGCTAATGTAAAATAAACCCCTCTCATTGTATAAATGGTCTGGTCTAATTTGCCAGACACTTTGTGAAAACCCTACGGCAAATCTACGAAAGATTGCATTCTGAACGTGCACCTTTACATAATCTTTTGTTTCACAAAAGGTCGTGTAACGCAACCACCTGACCAGACGCGACGACCTGATGAATCAAAGTAAGCCAGTATATGCATACCTTTCTGCAGTGTTAGGTCCTGGATTGGTTTCAACGTCACCAGATCTCATCAAGAGAAGCAGGAGCAGATAGAGAAGGCAGAATCCATCCATGGTGTAAGATGTCTTTCTCATTCAACAGAAGTTTAGTTCTCTGGAAAGTGCATGGGGATGCCAGAGGCAACAATACCTGAAAACATTAAAAAATATCTACATTATGTACATGAAATAGATCTAATAACAGGCTCACATGTATATTAGGATAAGGTTTTGGACAGAATATATTTGATTTTGTGATTTATTTATATTTTAGTCGTCAATCAAAGTGCCCGAGTTTCTTTTCACCACGCAAAATGAGCATCATCATCTTCTTCTTCTTTCTATTGAATTTTTCCGGTTGGTGAAGAACTACATGCATGAGCACAGGGTATCGGCTAACAGTAACACTAGCCCTGTCGGGGATAGTCTTTAGAAAAGAAACACAAGAAGAATGAAAAATGGAAATAAAGCATAAATAGATCTTGGATCTACATGTTAAGTGCAGATTGACTCAGCCAATGTCAGAATCAGGGGTAACAGTCATCTTCCCATTACGATGAGATCTGTGAGGGCAGCAGACATCAAATCAGGTGCCAGAGGGAGAAGCCTCTCCTGGATGGGTAGTGGGTGCGGGCAAGCACTGAATCCAATGACGGGGTAATAGTATATTTGTAAAGCGCTTAGAGACATTTGTATTAAGCGCTATATAAAAATTAAATATTATTATTATTATTATTAATAAATGGTGACCTTGCAGCAGGTAGAGAGGGCATTCCCTAATCATGTGTGTGACTGCATGTACTCTTGCGAGAATCCACATAAATTAATGGGAAGTGGGTAGTCTGGTAAAAAACGGTGACCTCGCGGTGAAGTACATGTAGAGAGGACATTCCCAAATCATGTGCATGATTGTCTCTTGAGAGAATCCAAATCACTTGGGTTCTTAACAACATTGGTAAAGGGGGTTCTTTGTTGGATAGATGCCACAACGAAGCTGCAATTTGAGAATGATGGCATGTCGTTGGAGGGCAAGTAGGCGATTGATGGTAAAAGATGGGTACAGAGAGTGCGCAAGGTGATGTAAGCGATTAGAGCGAGGACTTGTTGAGAGCAGAATCTGTAGATTTGTTGTATACATAATATGTTAAACAGTTGCCTTAACCAGTTTCTTCCAAACGGCATAGGGCAGGGGGTCAGCAACCATGTACAGGTCTTCAATGGGGGGTAAATTGTATTCGGTGAGGAGCTTAATCTTGAAGTCGGACATAGAGATCGTCTTAGAATTGGGGTGCTGGATAAGTTTAGGACGAAAGATCCTTGACTCGATCAAGCCTGTGATGGGAGAGGATGAGTAGTTGGCCTAACACCAACAGTTGTAAGCGTGTAAATCTCCTCGCTTTAGGGGAGAAGGCCCAACACAAAGAAAATGACTTCATTACATATTAATTAATACTATACATGTAGCTGTTGACAGGGGGAGACTTAGACTGAAAACTTCTGTCTCTTTCGTTAGTTAGCCTCTTATTTGGGTAGGATCGGCTCCTCTCTTTAGAGACAGAAGCAGACCATAGGGTCTCCTGTGCAAACTTTGTGGCCAGATCTGGCCACAAAACTTTTAGAGGATGCATATCCGATGCATTTATTCTTCAGTATTAGGCCTAGGCTAATTAAACTACATTGGTTCCACTTACCACATTGTCTGTATGATGCGTTTAAGGTTTTTTTTCTGGATTTTCTTCGTCAAATTTGAGCTACGTGTCAACATTTTTGGAGACGTAAATTAAACTGTTACTGTCAATGGATGACGACATCTTCCTTCATGCGCAGTAACAGTTTGATATGGCTGCAAGAATTTCAATACTGAGCTCAATTTCAACAATGGAATGTGAAACCAATGTAGTTTAGCCTATTAAAGCATAAATATTGAAGTTCATATGCATCAGATATGCATCTGCTAAAATTTAGCATTTTGGACAAAGTTTTGTGGCCAGGTCTGGCCACAAAGTTTGCACAGGAGACCCTACGGTCGGCCTCTGTCTCTAAAGAGGGGACCGGACCCGACCCAAATAAGAGGCTAACGAACGAGAGAGACAGAAATTTTCAGTCTAGGGGAGACCAAGAATAATAATAATTTGTGTTGTTTTAGTTTACTTTATTTTAGTTAAGAAAGTTATATTTTTGTGATAGTAATACATGTATGTACAGCGCCATGAGCGTCAGAGCCTGGCGAATACCGGGGCTATATAAATATCCATATTATTAAAAGTGGTATGTTGCTGGTGCCGGCTGCGAGAGCTAAAGCTAGAGTTAGGGCATAGCCGCATAGGGAAGTTATATCGGCTTATGCCGAAAGGGTGGGTAGCATCGCGTCGCGTTGATTTGAACGCGACCATTCGTCCAAGGCCCCCCCCCCAGGTGTGCCAAAAGGGTCCGTTGGGAGTGTCAACATGACCGTTCGTCCAAAGCCCCCCCCACCCGGTTTTGCCGAAAGGGTGCGTTGACTAGTCTTCCAAATCAGTCGTTTATAATAGAATTTAAGGAATAGAAATTTAAGTCGTTTAAATTCAAGTAATCAAAATAGAAACAGATTGAAATTTAAATAACGGATAAAACACAGATCAGGCGTTTATAAGAATTAAATCAATTAATAAATTCCATAATTATTTAAAATTGTCAAATAAAAATGATGTAAACTAGTCATGCATAACAGTCTTTACAAATGAAATAACAAATAAATAAATAAATAATGGCCCCCTTCCCCCCCCCCCACTCAGTGTTATGGAAGGTACGCATATTCATGTTCCCAGCCCCCCCCCCCCCTCCTTTTCAGCATAAGTCCGGTGTGTCAATACGGGTAGATCTTTTTCTTTTGTTATACAGGCCTTATCAGCGACCCCCCCCCCCCCCCCCTCTTTCAGTTTCAGCATAAGTCCGGTGTGTAAAGTCAATACGGGTAGATCTTTTTCTTTTGTTAAACAAGCCTTTTCAGCACACCCCCCCCCTCCCCTATCAGCATAAGTCTGGTGTGTAAAGTCAACATGGGTAGATCTTTTCTTTTGTTAAACAAGCCTTTTCAGCACCCCCCCCCCCCCCCCCCCATCAGCATAAGTCTGGTGTGTAAAGTCAATTATGGGTATATCTTTTGCTTTTGTTATACAAGCCTTTTCAGAACCCCCCCCCCCCCCATTTCAGCATAAGTCTGGTGTGTAAAGTCAATACCGGTAGATCTTTTTCTTTTGTTATACAAGCCTTTTCAGCACCCCACCCCCCCCCCCCCCCCCCCCCCATTTCAGCATAAGTCCGGTGTGTAAAGTCAATACGGGTAGATCTTTTTCTTTCGTTATACAAGCCTTTTCAGAACCCCCCCCCCCCCTCCCTTTTTAGCATAAGTTCGGTGTGTCAATATGGGTAGATCTTTTCTTTCGTTATACAAGCCTTTTCAGCACCCCCCCCCCCCCCCCTTTCAGCATAAGTCCGGTGTGTAAAGTCAATACGGGTACCGGTAGATCTTTTTCTTTGTTACAAGCCAGAGATTTTGCACGCATGCGGTCCCTCCGTTCCCGGAGTGGGGGGGGGGGGGGGCGGGAGTAGGCCTACCTCCTTAATGCACTATTTCAGGATAAGCAGGTGGGGGGGAAGGCTTTTCTGAATTCCATACAGAGAAAGAAATGGATGTTATATGCAAGGCTAGGTAAACACCTTTATTTGTCATTTTTTAATATCAAAGTAAATTATTTGATTGTGTTTCTTATAATTCTTATAAACGCCTGATCTGCAAGACTACATAAAAATTAGTTTTATTTAGTTTTCAATCTGTTTCTATGTTTATTATTTGAATTTAAACGACTTAAATTTCTATTCCTTAAATTCTATTATAAATGACTGATTTGGAAGACTAGTCAACGCAGCCTTTTGGTAAAACCTGGGGGGCTTTGGACGAATGATCGCGTTCAAATCAACGCGACGCAACGCGATGCTGCCCACCCTTTCGGCATAAGCCAGTTATAATATCCATGGCTGTCGACTTTGGGCAACTTCTTGGAGGAATTATTTTTCTTCAGACGAACTACCAACGTACCGTAGCGTATGCAATTTCTTTTTGGCTCAAGGAGGGGTAAAGTTTTTTTTTTTTTTAAACGGGAGGAAGGGCGTGGTGGAGGGAATCTCGATCCCGCTACGAGCTGGTGGGACGGCGGGAGAATGAGCATGGTGGTGTGACTCCCTCCAAATGCAGGAGGATTGACAGCCCTGTATATCATAATAAGTTAATTATGCACTATACAAGAACGGATTATTATTATGGAATAACCATGACACAGATGTATGGAAATTGCTGCATATGCATGTATCAAAGAGACAAAACCCTCCTCAACCTCTTGCATATTCGGCAATTTAGAGCGAATGGCGCTCTATACCATGCATATTCATATTTGCTGCGCCGTTACCGCGCATGCCTACTGTCTCTTCGCCGTGTTGAATCGACGATACAACAGCAATGAATCGTCGGGTTAGGATGAAGAATTACTCTTTTTCCCATCGAAAACCTCTTGAATTATAATTTCAAGTGGTTGGAAAGATGCCCAGAGGAGTCGAAGAACATAGTAAGTCAAAATTGTAATTACTACCTCTTTACATTGCGAAAAAATGTGACCCAACCCGCTGTTTGAATCGTTTTCAGAAACGGGCTCTGGAGCTCCGAAGCCGGAGCTCCCTGGAGTAAGTGTAATGCTTGAGGTGTTGCCATACCTTATTGAATTTTGTATTCCTTATTAAGTATCGAAATCACCTTTTATACAAGGGGGGGGGGAATAACTGATCTTTACATTAAGTGCAAGAATTTGTTGAAACATTAAACTATTTACAGTAGAAAAAAAGAAGACAAAAATTGAAATAACATCGAACAAGAGGCAATGTGTACACTGCACTGACACTCACAGTCACATCACTGTCACACCTCGTGGCCTCATGAGATCACAATTATTGGAGGAGGAAGATGGACCTTGGAAGAAAGATAGACCTGGAATCTCGACTGCAGATCTCTGCAATTTATCCAGTACATCCGGTAATAAGGTTTATAAGGTAATAAAGGGGGTAGAAAATGAGATCATTGCCATCA